GGGGGGGGGGGGGACAAGTGAGTAGGGGGGTATAGGGGCAGGCCACTCCCTCCCTCTCCACCTGCCTTCCCCCCTGCCCTGCCTGCTGCTACTTTCTCTACTGCAGTTGTGAGGAATATGTATTTAAGATGACCCTCCAATACTATCCTGTGTATAAATTTATAATGTTTATAAAATTTCTATGAATAGAATCTAATTATTGGAGGGTTGTCTTAAATGTAAAACTGCCTTGCAATGGGCTGGAGTTGGGTAAATAAAGGCAATGTAGAGGACGTGGTATACTTGAACTAGAGTAAGACTTTTAACAAAGTCCAACATGAACTTCTATTGGAAATGCATTGGAGGGTTGGAGGAGAATTAAATATGCTGATAGTTTGGAAATCTGGGCTAGAAACAATAGTTTGAAGTTTGATGCAGACAAAATGCAGAAGAATAATCAAAAATGAAAATATAGAATGAGAGAACTGGCTGGCTTGCACTATTGCAGAGAAGGATCTTGGATTTTAGTACATCTGGTAACTTATGTGAGTGTAATGCCATGGCAAAGAAAGGAAATGCAATTTTGGGCTGCATCAACAAGTATTAGGTATAAGACATGGGAGGTGACAGTGCCACTGCTTGGTGCTTGTTAGGCATCTGTAGTATTGTCTACAGTTCTGGGTTTCATATTTTAGGTAGAACGTGGAAAAGTTGGGGAAGGTTAAGAGGTAGGCAGTTAAGTTGCAAGAGGTTGGATGGCAACCTGAATGAGGAAAGATTGAGAACTAGATGGACATACAAGAACAAGTCGAGAGAACTAGGTGTTTAGCTTGTTTAAATGCTCATAGAAAAGGCAATATAAGGGGAGACACATGTTTGAAACTGGTAAAGTGTCTGAAAAGCTGCCATAAAGAAGGAAAACAACTTTTCTCTTTTGCTGCAAATGGCAGGATGCAAAACAGTGGCTTCAAATAATAGCAAAGTAGGTTTCAATTAGGTATCAGGAAAAACAATCATAGTGTTAGATCCCTGATTCTTAACCAGGGTTCCCTGGTACCTGGTGGTGCCTTGAGATTCTTTCAGAGGTGAAAGGGGATGCCGTGCAGCGTTAGCAATGCTAGGTATGCAGACATGATTTAAAAGATAAACACAATGATTTCAAATAATGCATAGTGTTTTGTTTTAAACAAAACAAAAAATTGACCGGTTGGAGTCTGAGTTCTTTGCAACAGAAAAAATTGCTGTGTTGTTTTTCCATAATCAAAAAATAAGTGAAAGCTAATAGCATTTTCTGAGGGTGCCCTTGCAAAAGGTGTCTTGACCCTAAAAAGGTTGAGAGACACTGTTTATAATGAGGCAGTGGAATAGACTGCCTAGGAAATCTCATTCATTGGAGGTTTTAAAGGAGAGCTTGCAGAAGCATACTTCAGGAATGTTTTAAGAGTAGCATTCCTGTGTTTGTGTTCAGGTACATAGGGAGATTAGCCTACTTAAGGTCTCTTCCAACTGTGGCAGTGTCTTCAGTGCTCTGTCTGAATTACGTGCCTTTACTCCAGTTCCTCTTTTCTTTCTGGGGATCACTATGTCAGCCTGCTGCTTCTCTGGCCTAGAAGAGGACTTGAGTATTGGCCAGTGTTGACCTATAGCTATCTATGTTTTAGGTATGTGCAAAACAGGCCATAATCAATTTGGATTTGTCCCAAATTGGGAGACACTGACTTGATTCCTTGATTTGGACCACTGTCCCTTTTTCTGATTCAGCTGAATCTGAATCTGAAGATTCAATGCTGGTTTGGAGAATCAGCGGTTCGGCCATAGTCGCAGCTTTAAATGTCTTTTCTAATACCTCGAGGTACCAGGCAGATGGAGTGTCCCACAGGAGTGCGGGGGAGCCCCCCGCATGCCTGGTGGCAGACCTGGAAGTGGACCAGAAGTAGTTCTGGTCCACTTCTGGGTCTGCTGCTGAGCGCGCTGGGCCCCTCCTCCCCCTCCCCGGCCCTTCTGGCTCAGGGTGGGACCCTAGGTGCTCTCCCCAGACCCAGGAGGCACCAGTTGCTGAGGTGGGGGAGGGGGGCCCCTGCACGCTCAGCAGCGGACCCGGCAGTGGACCAGAATAGCTTCTGGTCCACTTCTGGGTCCACCGTCGAGCACGCTGGGGACCCTCCTGCACTCCTTCAGGATGCTCCATCTGCCCCACCATCTCATTGACGAGCCGCCTGGTACCTTGAGGTATGTGTTTAAAAAAAAAAACAAACAAACATGTAAAACTGTCTCTATTTTAATCATTGAATCTCTCTGAATTCACTTGGAGGGTTCCGATTCGATTTGGCGAGATTACAGGGTCTCCTGATTCAATTCAGATTCAGCTGCCAAATTGGGCCGAATCTCTGCCGAATTGAATCAGCAACCAAAGCTTTACACAGCCTTACTAAGTTTCTGACAGAGATATTATGGCAGCAGCTAGGTCCTGGCACCAGCTGTCCTCAAACCTGGACTGAGTCACTTCAGTCCACTTCTAGAAAATGTTGCTAACCACTGCTCTAGGCCATGTAACTCCATAGTTCCCTAGTTTTCCTCTTTCTAATTAAGAGGTCTGGGGGAACTACAGTTACGGACATTCCATGTGATCTGACTCCAGCCATAGTTGCAGCCACAAGTGTCTCTTCAGCTCTTCAAATTGTAGATGTAAATTCTTGGAGTAGAGCAGAAAAATGGGAAATGAATAGGAATGGGGGCTGAACAATATGGCTAGAACTCCTTAAATTAATTTGGTGTCTAAGAACTCTGCTTTCATTCTAGTCTTGGAGGTGGAACATTCCTGGGCCTGTGTTGTTTGCTGACGGGTTGCGAGACCTTTGAAGAAGCACTAGAAATGGCAGCTAAAGGAGACAGCACTAATGTTGACAAACTGGTGAAAGATATTTATGGAGGGGATTATGAACGATTTGGCCTTCAAGGATCTGCTGTGGCTTCGAGGTACATATTAACTTGGTTGGCTTCAAAGAATTCAGTAGAAACTTGCTGTGTGCCCTAAACTTAGTTTTCAATATGCGGAATTACTCCTGTTTGAAATTCAACTGGCTGTATAGAGTAGGATCTCTTGCTTCTGGTTCTTGTTTATTAAAAAACTTAGAAGTATTCAGTGGAAAGGCCATAGTTCACTTTCACTTAAAATGCAGTTATTTTGGATAAAGAAACCCACTTTCTCATTGTAACTATTTTCATCCATTGTGTTTCTGTTCTTTAAGTCCTTTTTCACTTATTCTTGCTATGCTCAAAGTCAAGGGTAGGGTTGGCCAATATGTGGCATGGGTACTACAAGTGGCCCAGGCAGCCTGTCTGCGTGATACACAGCAGGTTGGGGAGGGGACAGGTAGCATGACGGTATATAGGGCAGAAAGCAAAGCAACAGATCAGGTTAGGAGTACAGGGCTGGGCTCAGAATGCAGAGCAACAGATCAGACGGGAAGGAGGTTTGGAGTGAGGCATGGGGAGGGTCCATGGCTAATTTGTGGCAAACCTACTAAAAAAAGTTGGTTCCCCACTGGTCAAGGGCATCAAATCCAAGCAAAACTGTACATGTTTTCATGGATCTACTTGGCTAAATTTATCTTGCAACTTTTCTAAATACTTTGAATGTGAAGGGTTGGTCTCTTCCCTACAGCTTTGGCCATATGATGAGTAAAGAAAAGAGAGACACCACCAGCAAGGAAGACTTGGCTAGAGCTACTTTGGTCACTATCACCAATAACATAGGCTCTATTGCTCGAATGTGTGCACTGAATGAGGTAAGACTGCAAATTCACTTTGGTTGAGACCTCTAGCAGCAATCTAATAAATAGATGAAAACATTAAGTGTATTGCATGTATGACTCTTCCAGATGGATGCAAGTGCATTTAATTTTAGCTTCCAACTCTTGCAGTCCACTATTAACATCTTCTATAAAGGACACCTCGCTTGCAAGATGTTAGGATTCCATGAAAAGCAAGGGTTTTTATAATATCTGTGTACTTTAACTAATGATGCTTTCATCTGTTCATTTATTCTCACTGCTAGATCACAAAAACATTAATGACTTCAGTGCTTTTAATTATTTCTTGATGTAGCGGCTTTTGTTACTCCATAACCAAGCATGACTGCAGCATTTTATGTACACTACCTTTTTTGGCTTCTGTGGCCTACCTAATTGAGAATCTTTTACTAAATTAAAATTCTCTAATTTTCTGATCCAAAAATACTATGGAAGGATATCATCTCGAGTCATGCGTATTTTCAGTATTCTCTTTGCTTTCAGCTTCTTTACAGTGTTGCCTTGTGGCATGGAGTTCAAGCAGCATTGTACAGGGCTATCAAAGCGGAGAGAGCTGCAGCAAAGTGACATGTGTTGCGTTAAAAGGAAAAAAAGCACTCGGCGATATTCTGCAACAGGTTTAGCCACTGGGAGAAAATTCTTAAATCTTTTTTAAAGGGATAGGTGCTTTCATTTTTAATCTACAGAATTAACTACAGGTGTAGTCAGGTAGAATAAATAACTTGCATTTACCTCAGAATAGAGTTTCTATACCAGCACTTCAAGAATTTAATTAAACTTGTTTATGCTTATTTCAGAAGTGTGACACAAAAATGTATTTGTGATATGTGAAAGTATATGAGCATGGAGAGAAATCCTAGACTAGTCATGAGGAGTTAGTTCCTAATCTAAAAGTAGCAACCTTGCAGAAACAAACTTTCAGTGAGGTCCCTGTTAATCCACTGTTCAGTTTTGACTTTCTTTCCAAAAAATGCATGGTAGAACATAAGAGATTTCCCTCTTCAGAAATCCAAAGTAGAGGCAAATTGAACAAATTTAGCTAGGTTATGTCAGTTAGGTAACCTAGAATAATTTGGCTAAAGGCAGGATAGATTTACACCTTTATAGACTAACCAAATTGTATGTAATGGAACTCACTTCATCAAAAACTTATGCTACACATACCTCTAATTTAGTCAGTCTAGAAAGTGCAAATCTACCTTGCTTTCTGCTTGACTTAAATCATGTGGCTACACATCACTGAAATTCTGTCCCATGCACCATACTTGCAAAAAGCAATCTCTTCCTTGGTGCATATCAGCAACAGCAGAGAAAATGTGCAGGAGCTGTGGGGGGCAGCGGCTGTGGCACCAACTCCAACTCCAGGTCCAAGTTGGGGTCGGAGATGGAGCCACAGTAGCCACCTGAGCCCCCACTTGTACTGGAATCCAAAATGAAAGGCTTTCACACCCCCCCCCCATGTTGAATGGGGTGGGGGGGTTAGTCTTGGATTTGAGTAATTACAGTAATTTGCATTGTATCTTTTACTTATCTGGGCATTTCAATGATTTAACAAAAAGGTTGCATAACGTATAGATCATGTCAACTGTTATGATTTGGTATGATTAAACCTGAATTTAGAGTGCCTTCATTATGAAGGCTTTCACTTTTCACCCTTTAAATACTTTGGCTGTATTTTTTTTAAAGTAACAAGAATTTAATGCAAGAATACAGTGTTTTCATTCTTCTTATGCTTATGATGAACAATATCTTATAAATACTTAATTTGGTTTGAGTTTCTCAGTAAAATGTGTATGTCCATTTTGGTTGCTACCTGCCTTGAGCTTTCTAATAATTTCATATATGGTTTAAAAAAATGAAATCTTAGTTAGGGGAAGTTTAAATTAAGGTACTCAGTTTGCCAGTGTTGCTTTAAACATTTCCCCCCCAGTTCCCTGTCTTTGTTTTGTCAGGTGGTACGTCTTACAGGATAAAGTCCTGTACTCTTAAGGAAAATGGAGTATTTTACATTTTAACTGTAACCCTTTAAAATGCCAGCTTTTCCTAGATTCTCATCCATATATGTCCATTGAATAAATGTACATTGATACGGCCAGACTCGAAATGGTTAATTTGACTCTTCTTGCTTCTATAATTGAAGCAGTATTATATAAATGGTTTGGTCTGCACATACAAATTCCCTCTAGTCCTCCCTTCCCCCTCAAACATTTTAGGCTTGCTAAATGGGCAATTATGCCTTGATGTACTTTGTCACTGCTTGGTGACAACCCTGAATGAGGGTGTCATAGTCCAAATAAACACATTATGCAATATTAACTATTTCAGCACTGCAAGGTATACAAACGTAATCTGTGGTAGTCTTAGATATTAGTGCTTGTTTCAGCCAAATAGAGCTGCAGTAACTTGTCCTCTTCTTTTAGGGAAGTTTCCAGGGAGATGCTACTAATGAAATGTGGGCTGTTTTAACAAGACTCTTTTAAAGGACATGCATCTGCAAGTGTTGGCTTGTGGTTGATTTGGTCACACATACCAATTCAGTAATTTTAAAATTACAAATGCTAGATTCTATTTTTCTTTTTGCATTATTAATAGAATTAGTTTGGATGAGGTATCTGCAAGAACAATTATGTCTGCAAGGACATTCGCAACAGGTTGTGTGATGTGTAAAAGGATATTGTGTTATATGAATGACTGTCCCTGTAACTTCATACAAGTTTTCCATGAAAACTGAGCACAACATGCTGAGCCCCAATAAACTTGGAAGCCACATTGCCCTATGACAACCACTTTTCATGGTGAAATCAGAGTTTGAGAATTGTGTTCAAGCTTCCTGAATATCAAAAGTAATCCTTGTTAAATATTCCTCATAAATTCCCCTCATGGATTTATTAACCATCTTGATTTTTTTGAGACACCACTTGAGAAATTAAATATTAATAAAATAATTATACTGTGGAAAAAGCAGTGTTATCCATTTCTGTTGTATCATGGAAACTCTCTTACATTTTGAATGTACCACGTTGATTGTGTATCAACTTTTTTAAGCCTGTCCTTCAGATTAAATATCCTGATGCTACTTTTCTTCTTGGTAATAATTGTTACTAAGTAGTCCTAGTCTCTTTGTTTAAAGGTCAGAAAATGCTAAAGTGTACAAAGCTAGAAGTTCCCAGGATGTGTGTGTGTTTTGTTGTTGTTTTTTAAGGGTGGTAAATTTTATGTTTGCATAAAATAACATATTCTGAATTCAGGTGTTTTTATCTGTTTTGATTTTACAGAACATTGACAGGGTGGTTTTTGTTGGAAATTTTCTCAGAATCAATATGATTGCTATGAAGGTGCTAGCGTATGCCATGGATTATTGGTCCAAGGGACAGCTGAAGGCTCTGTTTTTGGAACATGAGGTATTCATTACATTCCTTGTGAGTTATAAGAAAAAAATCTTTCTTTTGAGTGTATAGATTTGCCATGCAAACGACTTCTCAGAAAGAAAAAAAAATCCATGGACAGTTCTTTGTATAATAGCATTTAACACACAGGTTGTTTAAAATGTTCCTGATAAATCCCTGAGTTTAAGCAGTTTAGCCACTAGTCTTCCAGGAATCATTCCCCTCCCAGAACCCCACTTTTTTTTAAATATAGGATCATATGCAACCTTCAAGCTGTTCAAGATTTGGTAGACTAGTTGAGATTTTCTTTTTTTTTCTTTCTGCAGAGGTGATACAATTTTGTTTAAAATATAAATTGTTTTACTTTAAGTGTAATATCACTTAGGGTTCCTGGAGATGTTCAGGGCCCCAGTCTAACTTTTTTATGGTGCTTTACATAACGCACCATAAGTTAGAGCTATTCCACTCCCCTCCCATAACCCACGATGTCAGAGGAGGTGGGATTGGAGCCTTTCTGCACTGGTCCTGACCAGGAGGCAGGTGTGCTCTGGAAACCTCCAAGGAGGCTGTTGAACTGTCCCTCTCCCAAGCCCCTCCCTTACCCCTATCAGTGGGGGGGTGTAGCTGGTGGCTGGACCTGTGAAATGGGGGGGCTCTATTCTACCTTCTTCCCCCTTCCCCCATCTCTGGCCATTCAAAAGCAGCCAGCAGCTCTGCCTGGCTGCTTCCTCTTTCCCCCCTCTCTCCCTTGTTGACAGCCCTGGGGATGGGACTGGGCTGGTGCTGCTGTCATGAATACTAGCTCAGCCCTGTCCTAGTGCAAAAAAGGAACCCTGGAGAGAACACAAGTTCGCTAAGATGCTCTGCTCTAAAGCACCATAATCTAATACTTAATTTTACCAGGGTTAACATTTTGTGATATTGGCCATTTTAAAAGCATTTTCCAGCCATGTACTTGTGTTATGTCATGGCTGTAGAGTGCTTTCAGGGGCCCAATCACACAAAAATGTTACTTGTATAAGCACCCTTAGTATATCCAGTATTCTTTCTCATTTTCCTTTTGATTACTTAAATGAGTTGTTTGATGCGTTTCTGAAACTGGTCCCTATCGTTTTGTCACTGTAACTAGTGTCAATTTAATTAGCCTTATGTAGGTTGACTGACTTCTTAGGATGCATAATTTTACCTGTCTTAGGCTACTAACAGCTGTTATAAAAAAAGGCACAATGGTATCTGATGTGCGGTCTCAATAACTGCCCTTTCTGCCATGTCACGATTCCATCCCATGCCATGGGATCGAGCATCAAATCCTGTCGCACTGTATTTCAACTGTGAGGAAAGCTGGGATTATGATCCTGGGTTCCCCCTAAACTGACAGCCTTTACTCCTGTTGCTGGGAGCCCTGTTGGCTGATGGAGATCCCAGCCACGAGTGTGTGGTGCACCTGTGTTTGGGAGCTTTGCTAACTGGTGGGAGTATATTCCAGATGCTGGGAGCACTGGCCATGTGTTCAGTGTAAAGGTGCGATAGGAGCCAGCAACAGTTATTACACAGAATACGTGTAACAACTTTGTCACTTATTCCTGGTTTTATCTTGCCATTAATAGAGTATGGCCAGGTCACTATTTAATCGCATCTTAAGTGCAACATGCACCAGGGGCCTAATAATACATCCAGCCTTTACAATCATACTCCTTTTTACGTATTTCAAAATGTCTAATAGTTGTTATTCTTTTGTTTTTTAAGGGTTACTTTGGAGCTGTTGGAGCCCTTTTAGAATTGCTTAAAATGACAGATGATCAGTGACAAAGCCACCTGGACACAGATACCTATCAAAGATGCTGCTGGATAGAATGAAGCCACTACAAGGATGGAAACAAAGCCATTATGGCAGTTCTACCTGCTGGATTTGTAAATAATTTAGAATCCTTTTAGCTGATCATTAACTCTGGGTTTTGAGTTTATACTTCAAAATTCATACTGGGAATAAAGAGGTTTTTCTGTATACTGTATTTTTAGGGGGAAATGTGCACCATGGCCAAACATACAGATTTTATGGATTATTTTAAAAAAGTGAATATTGTTTAAAGAACAACTTATAATGAAAGATGCCTGCTTTTCTTCTGGGGTTTACTTATTAGTGTGGTAATTTTAACTTCATTTAATAATCACTCTAGGAGATTTTTATCTTATTTTTCATGACGTTTCATGACTTGCTCTTGGTTTCAAATGAAACTACAAAGCTAGCACACTTTACTGTTAACACTAATGTCATTGATTTTTTTTTTTTTTTTTATCTTCATTTTGTTAGTCAGTTAGGACACTGTCCTCTCATCACTTCCCCAAAAACATGACGACCTTTCTTAGACCTGTTTCTGTTGAAAACAGGTGCTAATAAACCTGCAGGGGAAGGAATACAATCCAAAGTTTCTTGAAGTCCTCTGCAGCTTTTTGAAATCACAAGTCACGCTGCTACCTGCGTATTGCATTAAAAAACAAACAAACTTGTGTTTTGGTCTCTCTTCACTGAAGATTTTAAAAAGTATAAATTGAAAATTTTAATTTAAGCCCTGAAACTAAAGTGAAATTGTCTCATGGTGAGATTTTTCTTATACATGGAAGGGTATGCTGTTGGGTATGGATATTTATAAATTTGCAGATGCTTGGAGTAAGAAAATAATGGGAGACAGTTTTCAGTATCTCTTCCTATGTAATTGTCTTGGAATTCTGAGCAAAAGGCAACTATTCCCTCCAGGATTTTTAAGGTCTGAGTATTTATTCATTATAGTTCTTTGTCTTGCAAGCTTGTATTTGAAAACAACCTTTTTGATATGATGTCACATAATGTACAGGGTTGATGAGAGAAATAGGATAGTTTTAGCATGTGTTTTGAGGGGTATTTTTTGTTTTTTTTCCTTCCTTTTTTTAAAATTAATTTCCCTATCTCAAACCTTGAAAAGGTTTATACTGACTAAAATGTTGACTTGTCTGGTGGAAATAAAGCCCATTACTAATGTGATGATTATATTAGGTCTGTGAAATTTATTCCTTAAACCTAGGTATGTGGAATAAATAGCAGAATGTTTTAGTGCCTTCCTGTTACTTTTATGATTGCTTTTTTGGTACTTTGCTTTTTTTCACCTTTTGTTGCATTTTGGTTTTTGCTACCTTGATTCATTCACTTATTTCAGCCTTTATTAAATTGCTTCTTTTATGACAGGATTGAAAGTTTTGCCTCCTTAAATTCTGTTGCTTACGTAGGTTTTATACATTATGAGAACATATAAAGAACTTTGAGCATAATTAAGTTGGTCCATTCACATAACGTAACTGAAATCAAAAGAATTAAAATGGGAATGCATCTGGTATAATGTCTCTAGTCTTCCATAAACACAATAAGCTTATATTAAGCTTTTTTTTAGCCATTAAAGTGCTGTGTGATCCTGATAATTATAGTGGCTGCTCCAAACATTGTGCACTTTACTGAATGGTGAAAAACGAGAGCATTTGTTGCATATGCACTGTTCGTTGACCATGCCATGGCATGCCTGCTGTGCTGGCACTATGTCCCTAAATTAATGCAGTGTAATTGTCCTGGACTGGAGCCAGGCATGCACCAAAAAGCTTCTAGTCTTGGGCCATGTGCCCAATAAGCATGCCCAACTCCATACTATAGCAGCCACCTTATGCTTGATGCATGCATGGTTTAGTGCCTGTGGATCCAGTATATCATGCTTCATTGTAGCGCTCTTGAACACAGTGTAGACATGCTGCAAAGGCTTGCTGTTTGAGTGGCTGTGCAGGGAGTGCTCAAAGAGGGGAAAAATTTGTAGGAGTAGCATCTTGCATAAAACCTCAGTATTTGCATAAAATTCAGGAAGTGTGTAGAGGAGTGAAACTGGATATGGGCTATGGTTGGGAATTGTTGACTGGAAAGAATGAGACAGACAATTTCTAATTTCTAGCAGCATAAAGACATCAGATATTCTAATCAGCTTCACCTGGAATGGATTTTGGGGGGGAAAATAAGCCTTGTATCTAACCTTCCAAGCAAATACTTACTGATCGCATTAACTTGGAGATATTCCAAAGCTAGAACACCAAGCTCTGCAAAAATTGCTAGCAGCATGAAAATGTACAGTTCTGTATGTTGCTGTGTGGAGAACAACTATTACTCGTTTTACCACTGATTCATTGGGCCTGTTTGAGATGTGCAGCAGCTTTGTCTTTAATCACTTGATTGTCAAGTATGGGGGCGAGGGGCGACAATGGAGTTTTCCATTCCCTTTGTCATCTTACTACTCCTTTTTGCACTATACCACTAAAAAGCCAGAGGCAAACAGATTCCAGTCACTTCTCCTGGCTTCTGTTCAACATGAATTATCCATGTATTTATTTATTTATTTGTTGCATAGGATATTGGTAATCCTTATTACTGCTTATGAAACTATGTTCATAATTTTGGCATATTTGTTTGGTTTGGTTTAGTTTTTCTTCTCAATGTTCATGTGTGGAAATATTACAAACTGTCTTAATGCTACTATTTCAACAAAGAAAGCAGTGCAGATGTTTTCAGTAGTTGCACTCACTGTTGTAAACGGTAGAGGGAACCATACAACTATGCATGGTTCTAGCATTCTTGGACTACGTTTCACATACCAAAGGGATTATATTTCATTTACATTGTTATTAAAAAAAGAAGAAATCCTTCCTGTCCTCCCTTTTTTTCTTTCTGAGCTTTGTCATTCCAAGAAAGGAAACAAATTCCTCAGGACAGAGCCTGTCTGAAAGTGTCCCAACTCCAGAAATTAGATATACATATTCTACAAACTGTTATCTTGAGTGTCTCAGCTGCTCTGAGCTACCTGGGTAAATTGTAAAATGAGAAGCTAGTCTTAACGTACTGTATCCGGGTCTCTTAGCAGTGTTGCTTTTAATACTCCATGTGCATCTCTGTTGTATGAGCTTCAGCCTAAAAGTTCTAAAAGAAATAATTACCAAAAATTTTTGGTAATCATAAGGTTGTGTGGTCACTACCTTTTAATTTTGCCTGTGAATTATTTGCTAAACTGGATTATGCTGTGAAATAGACAGAGGGAAAGAAGCAAAAACAAAAACTAGAAAAAAAGAAACCAATAGGGAAGGAAACATAAGTGAGTAAAAATATACTTTTAAAAGGTCCCCATTATGTCAGATAGTTTTGTTGCCTTATTCTCCCATTAATATGCTCTTATGTGCATTTTCATTCACTTCAACCAGTAAGGTGCAACATAAATGATTGCGACTAGTCTTTTGAAGTACAAATTCCAGCACTTTTACAATGGAACTACCCAGAATGCTTTATGTAAAAACATATCCAACTTTACCATAAAGCCTCTATTTACATGTTAATTTTTATTCAAGGTTGATATGGCAGCAGGGGGCCTAATGGATTCATTAGCGGTACACCGATGCACCTTTCTGATATCAGATTGGTACCAATATGAAGAAAATTGTCTATATTAGCCCTATGGGCCTGATAATTTGGCTGATTTAAATGTCCATCTGTGCGCAGCCACAGTGCAGCACGGAGCAGAGCCGGCAGTGTGGAGCACTACCTCCAGCACGTAAGTCAGAAGGGGCATGGGGGG